CATGTAACCTTGCAATGCAGAACACCAAGCCGATTCAGAGCTTACACGCACCACAACATCTGTTTGGCTGTGGCAGAGTGGATCTTAACTTTAGTGAATTTGCAGCCCTCAACGGAAAAAAGCATAAAAACTGACAAGAAATCCATATCTAGCTAGGAGCCAAGTTCCATGCCCACAGCGCACAAGCTTTCTCCAAAGGGCTGCGAGACAAGATCTCACGAGTTCTCACCTTCTCGTGCCCCTTGGGCGAGAGCTTGTCTGCGCGCAAACGTGGCTCCCGGGAGGATAACAGTGGACATTTAGGCTAAAAACATGGTGTAACTGATGCTGTGTCAAGTAGAATTTGATCATGGAGCAGTATTGAGGCATTTTGTGGGGGTTTTTTTCGGTTGTGGTCACCATTTACATCAATTGTATTGGATATGGCTTACTCCTGAAACTCCTCATACACTTCACCCCCACCTCCATTGCAACAGTGGTTAGTAGATAATGAGTGAATTTTCATTTTTGGGTGAACTCTCACTTTAAAGGTTCAGTGTGTAAGATTTAGGTGATTTTTGGCAGAAATTGAATATAAAATAATTCTAGTGATGTTTTCACTGGTGTGTTTCATCTAAATTGTTGTTTTCTTAACCCTAGAATGGGCCGATTATTTTCATGTTGGGAAGGGGAGGGTGAGATGAGGAGTATTCAGCTGCAACATGAAACTTCACCTCTAGATGTCACTAAATTCTACACACTCAACCTTTAACTTCAAACCAGTTATTGCTGTAATGTGCAATACATATAAAACCTCTTCCTTGTCTTCTGCAGACCTCACAGTCATAAACTTCCCTTTTCCTTGTTTCACTCCTGTGAGTTAAGATGCACACCAGCACTCTTTGGATGGAAATGAATCACCGTCTACACTTGATTGCAGTGAGATTATTAATAATGTCGTCCTTGACTTCCTGCAGGATGAATGAGACTCTTCCCTGCAGATGACGAAAACCCTGCCGCCGTCAGGATGACACCGGCTCCGCTCTGCACAATCAATTTACAGTTTTATAATTCAAGGAATGCGCTGTTTTTCCAAAACAGTGTAATTATGCATGACCACTAACATAGGCCATTATGCATGCTTGGGTACCAGGACTTTTTCCATGGATCTCACAAAAGGCTCCTAATTGCCCTCAAAAACACTAATACGGACTCATATGACTTTTTATGGGGGGGGGGCTGAATTATTTAATGATGTAAATCAAGTTAGTCATTAATTCACTCACAGTCAGTTCATGGAATCACTTCAAAGTCCCGGCGTTTTCGGACCTTGTCATCTCGACAAGGTCACACCAGTGGTCACTGCTGTCTGCGGTTTTTCACGTGTCGCTGTTATTCCTCACACACGTGTTTTCCCTGCACACTAGGACATATGATCTGAAGAGGGCTGTGAACATGGTTGCCTCTGTGACATGTACATCCATGCATGTTCTCTGCCGATCTAAAAATTCTATTTGTTCTATCGTGAAAAAAAAAAAAAGATGTAATGTGATTTTAAAATATGCATGTAAACAGATTTTTCTGTTAGAAGCAGGTCTGGGTTGCTGTATAATCATGATGCATTTCCCCAGGGATGAGCAGTTTTCTGGAGTAAACTGTCTGCAGCCAATATATTCATGTTATATTTGCATTGTATTCACAAAACTAAATAAAAGCCATTTGGAGTGGTGTGCTAAATAATTACAATGTTATCAGATCCTAACACTACAGAAATGTTTTGAAGTGAGCAAAAACCTTTGCTCTGTTTTTCTGAATTAACAACTTCATTATCTTGTTGATTCAGAAAAACAGAGTGGATTTAAAAAAAGTAAAATAAAAAACAGGATAAACAGCATAGAATCAGAATTGTTTTGGTTTGCTGTACAGTTACAAGTATGGTGTTAACAGAGGTAAGACACTGAAAGATACGAGTATCTCCAAATGTCTCAAAACCAAACCAAAATAAAACCAGATCAAGCTATACAGGCCGGAACTGTTTGCTTCAATAAAAGTGAGAGCCTCTTGCTGGATTTTGCAGTAAACTATTTAATTAATTCATTTTGTGGAAGGTAATAAGTTGATTTTTGGTCCCAAACCTGTTTGTAGACAGTTTGCTGTCGGACAGGACTCATCTTAACAATAAGACAGCTTGTCTTTTCATCTTCTGAGGGAGTAAATGATTAATTAACATGAATAAAGCCATTAATGACAACTTATGAGGGATATGACAGCTGACGAGATACAACATAGCTCATAGAAATTTGAACATCTTAAAGCAGCTAGCACGTCCATGAAACTTGTTTGGAGTTGTGCACAATATTTCATATGTGCAGAACCGAATGGACGAGATGTCGTGGACCTCAAATGCACCATTTGCTATAGACTTATTTTCATTAGAGAGTTTATGAATTGAAGTGCCATTCACATTATGAGCCAATACTCACAATTTTATTAAAAAGTCTGTGCTGGCTTACTACTCCTGCCTCACATGTTCAGAACGGTGTGTGTGTGTGTGTGTGTGTGTGTGTTGATCCTCAGTTTATTGAATCGCACAGTGGGAGCTTGTTGTCTGTCTCATCCAGCTTCGTCTTAATTATCCTGGTCTTACCTCTACAACCCAGGGAGAATTTAATGAAACACAGGAAGAGGAAGAATGACTCTGCTTTACACGTATTAGAGTTAATATCCATGTAGAAATACAAAGTACGGAAACACTGTAAAATAAGGAAATACAGAGATTCATTGTGTTCTGTTGCTCATTGAGTTGTTGCAGGCAGTACTAATGATGAATGAGAAAGACGACTAAGTGGAATTTATCTTCAGACTGAACTTGATTTTGAAGTGACATTGTTACCACATCATTTTTGCTTATTTTGATCCTCATTCTAGTCGAGGGTTAATGACAGAGGACGTCCAGGCACCTTGTACAGATTGTTAAGTCCTATGAGTCAAACTGTGATTTGTGAAATGGGCTGTACAAATAAAGTTTCATTTGAGACACAAATCAAATCATAACTAATGATAATTTACATCCCCACCACTTCCTCTGTGATAAAAAAAACAGATGATAGCGTTGCATGGTATCTTGGTGGTCGAGGAGACGCTTGTTAGGAAAGTATACATCTTTAAAAAATATACAAAAATACATTTTTGTTTGCAAAAAGTAGACAAAATGACATTTAATTCTATATGACTCTCAATGTGATTCAAGTTTCTGATGCGTACAGAAACACCACCATCAAGTGGTGATTTATTAACACTACAGGACAGTTTCAGTTTTCACACAGGCTAGTGTCTCGTGTATTCAGTCTATCACACACGCCGTAATCAAATCTACTTTACTTCCTCATGCATGGTTGTACCTAATTCTGGATTTGTATTGGAACTTCGTGTTTAAATTTCTGTCTCACGTGAAGTGTTTTTATTCTTTGTATACTTATGTGCTTTTAATTTGTGAGACACTTTGTAACTTCGTTTTGAAAAGTGCTATATAAATGAAGATATCATTTTATTATTATTATTGTAAGCGCCTGTATGTGCAACACACACACACACAAACACACACACACACACACACAGTAAATTGCTGGATCTCTGGCCGTGATGAGGAGGATTACTTTGGCTCCACAGACACAACACCCTGACTGAACCATGTCTGCACTTTCTTTGTTCAGGCCTCATGCCGGAAGCTCGTTCTGCAGACCGCTGCTTCCAGCATATTTTTGTTTCATGAGGTAAGCGTGCACTGCTGACCAGTTCTCTATGCACCAACATCATGACTCATGAGATTTTCTTGTCCTCAACCATACTGAAGCTGTTTTTGAAAATGAGCAGAACTTTTAGAGGCAGATCATAATAATCATAATGGGAAACTTATGCATTTGTTGTCATGTGCATTTGTCCAATTTCTTTTTTCTTTTTATGTATCTATTAATCTTCTTTTAAGAATGAATTATGATTATTCTTATCATTACATTAATTACGGTTAATCTTATCTGAAAAACATTAAGATTAAGGGCGAGTAACTGTAGCATAGAACATGATCTATGCACATGACATTGCAAAATGCAATAATAATAATAATTGTCATGTGCAATTTGTCCAAATACTTTTTTTAATGATTTAATTTGTTTCATTTGAGACCTGATTTATTTGTTTTTGTTCAATTTAATTTGAATCCAGCTTATATTTAGCAAGACCCCTGGGAAGATCAAGGATGTGTTAGAAAAGAGAGACATGCTCTGATCAGCAGCAGCTCTTTTGTCTACAAACATGAGTCATTCGTGATAAACAAGAGAGACAGAGGAGATCTTAAAGATCAAAATGTACAATAATCCCAAGTACTATTAGTGAAATCTGTTCATTCATTTATCCTCATAATTTCTGTGCAGCTCAGTTATAGAGGATTCTTTAATGTTTCATCACGCTGAGCTCACCTGGAGCACAGCAACAGGACTGAAATTCAGCCATACTGCCATCTTAGTTCAACAGTGCACAAGGCAAATAGTTCTGTGTCACTGCCTACAACCTCCGCGCCAATAAAGGAAATATTAATGGTGCACACACCGGCCACACGGGTCTGCGTTCCTCTTATACTGCCTGATAAATCAATCAAGTATTGAGTGGTACCTGCACGCTGCTCTGACATCCCAGTCTTTCCAGTATCAGGTAATATTCATTAATGTCGGTATGTATATATGGGCAATGATATGTTCAGAAAGAGGCTATAATTGGCAATGATAAACCAATCTCCCCTGTTCTACTGTATATACTATGGTATGGTGTGTTCATACCCTTAATATGTTCCACCTTATATAATTATGTTATTAAATAGCAACACATATAACAAATAACCCCACAATGCCACTCAGTAGAGTATATGCCTCAGCCAAGGCCCAACATAGCCCTTATGAAACCACATTTCAATTCACTAGATCTACATTTTTATTTAGATCTGCACTAAATTGCACATACTCATAAATATCAGCCCCCCAGACATGCCTGTTTTTTTTAAAAACAAGATCCATAAAGATTCTTTGATAAATCAATTAAATGTTCAACAAACATCTAATTTCGCAATGTTAAAGAAAGTGGGGAAAAAAAGGATCTGCCTCCTGATCCATATCAACACCAGCATTTAATGGGTTCTTTCCTGACCCAAACCGCATCCTTCCGAGTTTGGTGATAATCAGTCAAGTAGTTTTAGCGTGACCCTGCTAACTATCAAACAAACACGGAGGTAATTACTGCTGATATCTCGCAGTAAATACCTCTGTGTTTGTGTTACCTGTATAAAAAGTGTTTCCATATAAAATCAATAATGCAGGAGGTGGAGGCAAAGAATATATGATACAAATTCTCATCCACCTTTAAAGGTTAGTTAATCCATGTTGTGTCAGTTTCTGCTGTGGTCGACTGAATCTGCTTCCCCCGTCGTGTTATACAATTATGATTGAGAGCTGGCAGTCAATCAGAAGTATTTTCTGAGGCTGTGGTATAAACCTCTATAAGGGCTGAAAACTCCACAGTCTCCACAGTCTATTGTGGAGTTCACTGCGAAAAGATCAAAGCAGCAAGATGAAAAAATGTAAATGTCACATATTGAACTTTGGTTCAGTCGAGTGCTGCGCCACAGTGATCCGAAAGCCTTCAAACAACATCCTGCACACAAATCGTTTTTTTCCTCCTTCTGCTGCTGCTGAGAGTGGATTTGATTCTGGTGAAGCATCAGTCATCTGGAATGGCCTCATCCATCCACTTCATGTAAGCCAAGCTGCCGTCCTCCACCGGGAAGCTAAGGACTTCTGGGTTTGCATAGGGATGCACAGACCTTGGAGGGGAGCGTCACAAACACAAACATGTCACATAAAATAAACTAGTGGGGCAATCAGAGAGTGCATACCTCCGCCAAGGCTGATTGGCCACTTAATCATCATATGGCACACACAAATATTCAGATCAGGTACATGTACAGTGTACACAGACATTTCCGCAAAAATATCCAGTCTCTGATATTGATGGACTGAATAAAAAACAATTGTTTTGATTCACAAAATCGGGATAATTATCTGGATCCACATCAAGTTTGACATGTTTATAGACAAAAGCACTCTACACATGCCAGACTATTTTCCCCAAAAAATATCTTCCGATTTCATATAATTGGTTCAGCAGTTTTTTTCATAATCCTGCTAACAGTCAGAATATGAGGAATGAAAACATAACCTCCTATTGGTGCACTCAACTATCTATTCATATTCATAAACACCGGTTCAAGCCCTTTTTAACGTATAGGTGTTTTTCCTTTAGTCTTTGCCATTATGTCATTTGACTTCTGCACTTCAGAGTTGGAGTAGCTCCTTCAAACCTCTACATCCTCTCTAGTTTGTTTTGAGTGAAGTTTCCAAGTAAAACAAAGAAGAGGAGAAGCAGGCTGCACCTGCACCCCCTCACAACTCGACCTTTAACTCAGTAATGGTGACACTGCAAAAAAAACACTTTTCTTAAGCCAATTTTATCATCGGCTTCATTGTCTAAAACCTGCATATGTAGAAGATACTGTGTAGATCAGCATGAATTTAGAAAGGGAAATAAGGATTAGTTCCTAATTTTCACATATAATATGTAAGACCTTGCACCTGACATTGCAAACATCCACTAACGTCTACAGCTCTACTAAGAATTAATAAGCTATAGCCCTCTTTTCCTCTTATGCTTTGCTTTTGAATATGGATCATTTATTAAGTCAAACATCCAAAAAAAACGATCATATTTTAAGCAAAAGCAACTTATTCTGCTTCACTTTCTTCCAACACTTACACAACTGAGCACGGAAGCAACGCCGCTATATTACAAAATATTCTCTTTAAGAATAAAATGCTGTGCTTGTTTCATCACAGTGAAATCAGAGATGTTCTTTATCAAGCCCCTCGAGTGAAGTAATTAACTTTCAAGCACACAATAAGGCCCTAATTGAAAATACCCACACTGAACCTTTAGTGCATGTCTACAGCAGTGTGCACAGCATTAACAAAGCTTAAAACCCTTAATTACATTTAGGTTTTTGCAACAAGCGAATATTACACAAGGCGACACCTCACCTCACGTAATCTGTGACCTGCTGGATCCTGGAGGTCTTTGTTTTCACCAGCTGCAACAACAACAGCAACATCTCCGTTTACAGTTCTGACGTCCATCTCTACGGGCCTGGTGAGTACATGTCGATCACTGGAGGACATTCTCAGGACACTTACCATCAGAATTTCACTTGCATCCTGGATTTCGCCTTTCCAATAGTACCTAAAGACGCAGAGAGGAGAGGTTGTCACAGCTATTACGTAAGGGCTGTAAATTACCATGTAGTATAAGTGCCAGTGTGTGTACGAGGTGCAGAGCTTTCTGTAAAACTTGTATTTTATGAAAGAGCTCAACAATCATAGCTTGCACACCCACTTATTATTGGCACTGGTTTTTATAGTCATATTGTCAGCCTGTTCCTCTTGAGGCTTTTATGACATCAACTGCCTCTTACTTTTTTTATTTTTGGACAATGAAAGACAGCATGCCACAAACCGAGAGTCCATATTTAAGAATGTTGCATTGAAAAAATGGGAAGATAAATACTGAATACACTCCACGTCAATATAAACCAAGCATAGCAAAAGTAAATCTAAAGCATGCACAGACTAAAGTGACAATCTTTAAGACATATTCATTAATAGATGATTAGATGTCACCTGAAACACTAGCACATACAGTACACTGTTTTTATTAAGAGGAGAAAAGAGGTTCAGTTTACTCACTCGCTTTTTGTTGCCTTTTGGTTTTGGTTGATAATTTGTTCTAAGAATAAGAAAGCTATAATAATGTCATTTTGAAGCTATAATTTAAAATAACCTGATATTGGTATCGGTGATACCTTCACTTTACTTGGAATTGGAAAGAAAGTCAGTGGTATCGCACATAACTAACTATATGCCAGAAGTGGGAAGTGACAAGGCAGTTTTTCAGATATCTGCACTTTAATTCAGTATTTATTTTTCTGACATTTTAACACAAATATCGAAATGATTCCTTATATTTTCAAAATAGGGTCGTTACCTTCATATTACCTAACCTTAAAACAACTTTTAAATGTATTTTTGGGGACTTGCTGGTTGTCCAGATAGGGAAGACAAGTCCTAATAATGGGATTGTAAATGGACACTTGCACTTACAAATGCCTGACCACCTCCGTCAACACCTTCCACCTCAAACTAATCCAACCACATCCTCTATTTTTAGGTTAAACCTCTGTTTGGCTTTCAGGTTTAATGTTTGTACCTTTTCTATTCCATCACTTTCTGTTTTTCCTTCCTTGACCCTTTTTTATGGTTATACATTAACAGGAAAGCTACACCATGCATATAAACACACTATACTTGTTTTGGAAGCTAAGCTGCCACACATTTTCCAGTGACGGGTAAAAAAAAAAGCCTTCAGCCCATTCAACCTCCTGGTTTCCTCAGCAACAAGCCATGCAGTCTACAATACATGTGTTTATTTGTGTAGGTGTCTACGTGTGTGAGGGACATTATAACCAAGGCATTATCTATACAACTACATTTTCATTTGAAAACTAAATTCATCTCGGTCCACAAAAGCATTTTGTGTCTGTATCAGTGTGAACATGTAGATAAAATAGACGTGAGTGTCCCTCTGGGGACAGACTACTCGTATAATAGCTAGTCCTGTACTTATGTAAACAGTTGTATTGTTGTAAAATGGAGGATTTAACTGCGCAACAGCTGTTAGCAAAGACAGCATGGTCAGCAACACTTGTATTTGATTATCCATGATGCCCTCTACGTTAGTTGCCGAGGCTAATGTCAGTTGTTTTCTAGTGTAATAGGAGCCTGACGAATAAGCAGAAAAGACCCAATCAGCAAGTTGGTTGTGAGATTGTCTGTATCATTGTTTCCAAAACATCTCAGTTTCTGCCTGTCCCGGAGTTTTCAACATGGTTCAGCAGCATTTCCAAACATTTCAATTTTAGCTGCTCTAAAACTCCAGGGTCGTGTGGACTTTGAGTGTATCCGTCGCAGAGTCGATGTGTTTTCAAACAAAAAAGGAGCAGTATGGATGCAGCCTAAGCTCGTCTTTGTGGTTCAGCTGGGTAGAAAGTTATGTCAAGGCAGGGGTCAGGTATGATTTACATTGTGGAGGTCCTGCAGAGAATGTTAACACTGGCTGCCAGCCGCCTCTCCATGATCGCCCTGGAAAAGAAGATAGAACAATAGGGAGCATGGATAGAAACAGAGGGGGGGCACGCCAGCTGTTTATCAACTGCATCATGAAACATAGCTTTTTCTTTATGGTGCTCTTCAACTGAGCTACAGGAAAAACACTCTAATGCAGTAAACTCTCAAGGGAAAATAGAAAAGACAGTAAACTTTTGCTTTCTGCTGCAGCTCAGCTAATATCATAGTTTATCACCAGCTCCACAATCTTCCCTCCTCACACAAGGGGCTCGTGGAAGACGAAGTGATTTACTTCTCTGGCGTCTGCTCTGTGGCTACTCTCTCGTCTTGACATGTGGTAAATTGATTGAGCTCATTTACATGCAGCAAAAAACCAAGGAGATGAGAGCGCAAACACAGCGCTCCACCAGTCGTGGGTTTGACAAGATTGTGTCTCTCACCTCTGTAAAGAAAAGTCACTAACGCCTGACTGACTCCGTATTGTTAAACTCACTTCGACTAAAATTGCAAATCACAATTCAGACACAAAAGTGACATAATTTAATCAGCATCAAGATTAAAATAAGATTCCGAAACATATTGACTTTTTTGCAGAGTTAGATGGGACTATACAATGTATTTCTATGTGGTAAATATAAAGCTAGAGCATAGAGTGTATATAAAGATTTCTTCTTCCCAGCCAATTGAATGCCAGGTGTAGTGTTGGCTAATGAAATGGTCCCACCCTTGTTGTGGGTGTGTAGGCTGTAACTAAATCTGTGGAGGAGCCAGGAGTGCATGAAGGACTGTCAATGAAGCAAAGCTAACACACCCACAATTATTGACAATTTGTTCCCAATCTATCCCTTTGACTGAACTCTAAATCTCAACACTGTACCTGCCGATGTCTTTGGCTGCCTGTTCGTTGGGGCTGTTGATGAGAAGCACCGAGTGGTGGCCCGGTACGTAGCTCCCTGTGAGGGCTGAGTGAAGCCGGACGCCAATGGACCACAACCCAGGATAAAGGGACACGGACAGGACCAGCAGCTGGAGAGGACGCTTACATGTCAACAACAGACTCAAAGAGGAGGCTGATGATTGGGTCTGTACATAAATTCTATGGACATGTGGTTGTCACATGTTATTCTACGTCTGCATGAGGGGGGACGTTATGATTCAATTTAATTATCTCCCTCCTCTTTTTTGGCACTGCCCTTCACAGATAAATGATTACAGCTGGGCCTTGGCTCAGCTTGGACACATCGAGCAATTTATAATCTGCCCTACTTCTGTGTACAGCATTGCAGCCAGACACTGATACATACAACACAAATCATGTTAGAGGGAAAAAAAACACAATTTATCACAATACACCTTTTCCATGGAAGCCATTTTGACATGAAATAGAAGGTAAACAGAGGTATTAATACTAATAACATGAATTATGGAGATAGAGCACAACCTAAATGAATGTGATTAATATTAAGGGGATAGTTCAACTAGAAATGAAAATCAGGGGTAAACAGAATTGCAGCCAAATCCAATACAAGTAACTGGTCATTTCAAGTCAAGTTTGAATGTTTTTACATTTGAACAAGTGGTCGCCAGTTACTTCAATTATATTTGATTTGGCTGCAATTCTGTTTAGCCCTGAAACTCCAAAAGTGTTTTGTGGACACTTCTTCTCCATCTGCATAGTGGTGAGTAGATAATGAGTGAATTTTCATTTTTCTATCCCTTTAATGGATGTGATTAGTATTAACACCTGTGTTTGCCTACTGTTTCATGCCAAAACAGCTGCAGTGACAAGGGTCTATTGAGCATTTCCAAATCCTTCTAATCATGGGTTACTTCAGACTACTCAGAAAGGTTTTCATGTCTGAGATGATTACTCTAGTCCATGAAAATAATCTCTTACCATTAATGACATGAAGAGCACCGAGCGGAGGGCAGAGTGGGAGAGGGCCTCTTTATGGCACCGCTGGAAGAACCACTCCATCCTGGTGGTGGCGGCGAATGTCATCCCCTCAGTCCGGCGGCTGCAGACACCGGCTGGGTCACACCGTGCACAACTTCATTCATTACCAGTCTCTGACCCGGGATAACTTCTGTGCTGTCATTTTTAAACCCACTCCAGGCCTCGTTCAAACAGCTGCAGTGTCGGAAGTCATCGCCTTTAAACAAGAGGTGTGTTGATGTGTTGACAGGTGGCTCTGGAGGTCAAGGACAGTGATTAATGTCCTTGCTGTCCAATTGGCTGCTCACTCTTCCTGACACAACAGTGGACCAATCAAATTGCTAGTTCACCATTGTGCTACCCCCGCCTCCTGCCTGGGGTCATAATCGGCTTTGGTGTTTTTAACCGTGTGTGAACACAACTCACTAAGCGAGAGTGAGTGTGTGTGTGTATGAGAGAGGGAGAGATTGTGTGTGTGTGTGTGTGTGGGAGAGAGAGAAAGGGTGTGAGTGTGTGAGATAATAGAGAGATTGTGTGTGCATGTGTGTGTTTGAGAGAAAGAGAGAGTGTGTGTGTGTATGTGTTAGACAGAGAGAAACCCAGACAGAGAGAGAAAGAGCGTGTGTGTGTGTGTGTGTGCTCTTGTACATATATCTTTGTGAGGACCATTTGAGCCTACACCCTAGGGAGTGAGGACATTTTGGCCCGGCCTCACTTTCGGACCCACCAGCCGCCGGGCTGGGTTTGGACAAAATATTGTAAAATGATATTCGAGTGTGGGTTGGGTTCAGCCGTGTTGCCTGAGCTACCTACTTGATTTTTTTCTGCTCGTGCATATAATCAAGGTAAACATCAGACAAATACAGAATGCCTGATGTTTTCAGGTCGGGATCAGTTAGTTTTTGTTATGTCTCGTCAATTATGTTGTTCATTCATGTTAATGTTTTAAGTTATGTCACGCCTGTATAGTTCATGTCTAGTCATGTGTGAGCACTCTGTGTTAAGTTAAACTTCACTCATGTCTAGTCTCGTCGTGCACTTCCTGTTTTATTTTGTACTCATCTTTTCCCTCTCGTTTCAGACCCTGACTTCCTCCCTTTGTGTGATTCTCCCACCTTGGTGATCGTCTGATTGGTTTCACCTGTTTTCCCCTTCCTCATGTATAAATAGTCCTCGTCTCCCTTTGTCCTGTGCCAGTTCGTCTTGTTCTGTCCATGAGAGTTATGAGAGTTTTGCCGCCAAGTTTGTTTGTTTGCCTTTTCAAGTTTATGATCTTTTGTTTGACTCAGTGTTTTGTTCCTTTTTTTGATTTTCCATGTGAGCGCTTTTTGTTTGAGCACTTTTAGACCAGAAATAAACCTTTTTGTTATTTTCATTACCTGCTTTGAGTTGTGCATTTGAGTCCACCAGCATTCGTGTCTGAGGTCGTTACAGATTTCTCACAGGTTTAGGCAGAAAACTTTGAAAAAGGTCCACACACTTTCATATTGATGTGGACGAAACATAAAAAATAATTGTCTTCACAAACCCCTTACGATGGCCCCTAAGAAAACATATGTGAAAGACACCATTTACAGTATGTTACATAGAAGTTTAAAGGACACTTGTTATAAAACGACCAGTCTGTTGTAAGAGTTTGGAGCTTTGAGTGGCACGTTATAATTAATATGTCAACACTTGGACGAGACAGATGTTTGTTTGCTTTCATACTGATGTGCAGATTATTCTGTAGCAATTTGAAGATGTGCAGATACATGTGAAAAAACACATCCAACAAAAAACGCTCTGTATTCTTCTGTCCTCTGTGATTTGCGGATCCTCGTATAAATTGAACGATGACCTGCAAACATACAGATGTATGGGTGTGACTCGAGAGCAGTCAACCCGCACGTCTCACCACACACGGTGAGTAAAGCAACTTGTCCTTTCAGATAAGCTACAGAGAAAATTCAAGGACACTGTTCGCCTGCATGTGAATGAAGAAGATACAGACAAACAGGACTCTTACAAGAATATGAATAATTCAGCACTGGATTATTGATGCAAGAAACTGATTCAGCCGTGCTCGGCATATTATTTGCATTTACAGACCAGAGGTATAGTGTGAGCCCAGACATAAGAAAACAGATGAGTAAAGGAAAAGTATTTCAGCATGGCAGCTAAATTTGTTGTTTGGTCGTAAAATGCAATATTGATGAATAAAGTTAGCTCACTGAAAGTCTGGATTGTCAAATAAAAAAGGGGTTCTGTGTGGAATGTCCACATGGGGGAGCTGTGGGTCCACACATCTCTCTCTCACCGTCCTCCTCTCCCTTGATTGAGAATAGATGAAATGTAGAGTGTGCATTTAACATGTATAAAACTCTCATCGACTAAAATGAAATGTAAATTCTCTTTGTGACTCATCCCATTCTGTTTTTTGTTTTGTTTTTTTCTTGACCTCTTCCCCGTCCCCGCCCTCCCTCCACATTCACCAATCACTACGCGGATCACAGAGAGCGCGGCAGGGGGCGCCAGCGGGGGCCGCGGAGCCTCAGACCCCAAACCAATTTATTTCCCGAGCTCACTCAGGCTTCATTTGAGAGCCCATCAGAGAACTCCAATAGAGCCACTTAAGCCACTGTTCCCCAACATGAAAGAAGGCAGCCAAAATAGAGATATAGGAAGAAAGGCGAGGAGCCAGGGGAAGAGGCGTTTGATCTGCTTGTTCTGTGGCATCACTTAGCTGGGCTCGCATCCCTGAGGAGAAGCTACCAAGGCCTCTTTGTCCCCAAGAAGTCTAATGCGAAAAATAAGATAATTTTTCCCTTTATTTCAGTCTATGCTTTTTGTGTGTTTGCATAGAACGAGGCCACAAGGTCTACAGTAAGAGCGGGAAGAGGAAAGTGAGAGTTGAAAAGAAGGAAGGTACAAAGGAATGTGCAAAAGAGGTGTCTCACCTAATTTGCCATTAAACTGCAATTGTCTCTCTGTGCAATCAATGAAGTTGCCTCGCTGTGAAATAAAACAAATTATAGCAGGGAGAATTAGAGAGATGAAGGGAGCGCGGAAAACAAAGACTGTGTGAGTGCAGTGGGTGAATAAGAAAAAGGGGAAGGCACTCTTTGGACTCTCCCTGTGTGGCAGTGCCATTAATGCACTGAATGGGAGGTATGGGACATAAGGAAAGATACTGTGGACACTAGAAGACACGCAAAGGTGAGGAAAGTGTTAATGAAGGGACATATCCCAGGCTGTGATTATCTCTAAAGGAAGAGTCTGGTGCTCCCAAAGAGGTTAATTAAAAAAGTCATGAGGGCCGAGCAGGGAAGTGTCTCCATCACTGCTGTGAACTCCTGTGACCCTTCCATCCCCTCAGACGGACATAGCCATCCATCACGGCTCATTCCCGGTCTGTCTGGCTACTGCCGGTGCCATTGATATCCCTGAGTGACTAAAAAAAAAAACCCACAGAAGTCTATGTGGCAGCACCACATCTCTGACAAGCAAGAAAAAAATAAACCACTGCCAAGACATCCCCTGGCTGAAGTCCCCTAGGTAATAAAATCTTTCTCCTTTCAAGGATAACACAAACACCATG